ATGTGAAATTATCTCGAAGAAGAAAAAATAAGAGAAAAGAAGAGCCGACTTCTCAGTAGGCGCATAGAATGCACTTACATTTAGTAGAGAAATCAATGGAAGCAATCAGAAATAAAGCCAGCATGAGATCAAGAGAAACCGATCAACGAAGCTAGAATTTTCAGAATTAGTTTTCTGATGCGTTACAAAACCATAATTTTCGACGATGTAACAGCTTTCGTTATTTCAGTATCCAACATCTTCTCGAGCTGGTATAAACAAATTGATTGCTCTGCATTCTATTCTTGTTCTTTCGGGACGGTTACAACTATTTCTTAATGTTCGATAGATGGGGCTCTCGCCACTCGATACACCAACTTTAGTTGCTTGACAATTGTGAGTTTTTACGTCCCGTATTTTGAATGAAAGCTTTCGTCTGAGGATATCAGGGCTTCTGGATACCAGCGGCCATCTTGTTATCAGCCCGGAGATGAGTCAGCTGCAGTGTGGGAATTCGTAGTGAGAAATATCTAAGCCAATAAAAAGATTTTGGAAATAAGTAAATAAGTGGATAAATAAATTAGCTAATTGACAATGAAGACTGAGTGGGAGGGCCGAAGTTTTTCAAGATAGACATCAAACATAGCTGGTCCACGTGGGAGACGATAATGGGTCTGTGCATAATTTTTATTGAGTCTCTTCCTAAAGCTATCCGCTGAAGAGGCTGTTGTCACATTGTCTGAGAGAACATCCAAAGTTTCAAAAACTCTAAATGAGATAAAGTATGCACAAGCCTGAGTGTTCAATCTTTGGTGCCCAATTTTTCGAGGATTAACTTTGTGAGCTTGGTGGTTATGTTTTGGTAGGGTTCTCACTTTGGAATAATTCGGCGTGCTTAAAATGTACGCCATATTTAGGTCACCCCCGATTCTCCTCTAGTTCAGGGAGAATAATCACAAATACTGGACTCTATCTTCCTAAGTTTCATTCTTCTCCCCTACCACCCGTTTCATTGGTCATCTCCGAACTCGGTCGAAGATATCTGTGCTTCTTTTACGAAGAGGGCGTACAGCCTCGTTGTGAAATTCCAGGTGTGGTCGTTCACATGCCTTATACATCGTTGATAGTAATCTCGTGGTGGTTGCACCAAGCTGTCTTCGCATAAAGTGAAGAGTTGAGTTAGCGTTGCCTTAGTCCTCTACATTGTTCGATTTTATGTGGAGGCCTTCAGTGGTAATCAAACGGAGATCGCACTCTTAGGAGACATTAAGGAATGGACTTCCGTTGCTGGTGCAAGTCGGTTGCGTCATATGGGGCATCATGCACATAACGTGGCATTTCCAGTGACTTAATTTTCAACCCTTTTTGACTGCTCATCCCACAAGAAATGCAAAGTCCTTGCGAAGTTCACTTGAATCCTATTCGCTTCTTATAAACCTCCAAATCTTTGCAAGGTCTGCGTAGACCGGTGCCGCATAGCTTTGTCTAGTAGGTCAATAATGAATGTCAGGAAAAGAAGTGGACTTAAGATGGTTGCTTGCAAAACTCTCAGTTTTGAGACTCGCCAACTCGCGTGTAACTCATTTATCCTGGTGTGAAACTTTCTCTTCTCAAGGTAGTTTCTGGCTGAAGATTGGGGTGGTTCAGTGAAGCCCATTTCCGCAACCTTCGCAATAAGGAACGCGTGGGTTATTGTGTGAAATTAAGAGATCAATAAATAATAATGGCACAAGCATTTCTCGGCCCAACTGTCCCATGCAATAAGGAAGATTGGATGCGCAGGACCTGCCTTTCCGAAACCCTTGTTGAGCTCCAAGGGGGATTCGTTTTATATCCATGTACTTCCTCATTTGTTCGTTTACCAGCCCTTCCACTGGCTTCGATAGTATTGGTAGTAATGCGACTGGTCAGTAACAGAATGGGTCCTAACTATCTCCTCCTTTGAAATTTGGAGGGAGAATAGCTTTTCCCATTCAGGTGGTATTTAACGTGACTCCAGTAAATGTTCGAGCAGATCACACATCGGTGAATCGGGGGCTTCTGGATATTGTTTGAAGACTATGGGGCGAATATTTTCACATTCTGGAGACCTTTTGGGACGCAAAGATGTTAATTTTCTTAGTACAAAGTCAGGATTAAGTCGATTATTACTCAGGCCATCGAGTGGTACTGTGTTTGAATAGTAAGTACTTCGTTTAGCGGATTGTTGAAGTTTTTGTTGAAGATCTCGGCCATCTCTGGGTTGGTAAGATCATCGTCGTTCGAACCTTTAGGGTAAAAACACCATGGGTTTTAGATTTTCGTTTTGTCGTGAACCCAAATAGATGCTTAGGGTTTGTCTGTATTTTGTCAGCTAGTTTCATCTGAAAGTGTCCCTTATCAACTGAAACTTTGGCACGGCATCGGTTTCTTAATGCTAAGTAAGAACAACAGTCGGAATCCTTCAAAAAGACCTTCCACTTGTGTCAGGCTTTGCTTTTCGCCTGCAGCAAGCTTTCAGTGCGTTGCTGAACCCAGCCTCTTTTTCCTAGTGTGTGATGTGCCTGGGTGCATTCTTTAGGACAGATTTCTGGATGAAATCCCTCAATGTTTGTCAGTGATCATCTGTTGTCAGCCCCCACCAATCCTGTGGCCAGGGAGCATATAGAAGGTTGTCTCTTATCCATGTATGAGATAGGGTTGGTTCATGTTTTGCCTGAGCTTTTCGTTCATGACCATTCTAAACAAGACTGTACCATGGTCGCCATTTCCTATTGGTGTAAGGATGTTTACATCCTCAACCAGGAGCTAATCATTGGTTGACAAATAGAACTAGTTTAAGGATTCTCCAACCTTAGTCCATCTAGCTGAGCTGCATACCTGCTCACTCATCTCAGAACTTCTCATGACTACGCTAAGTCGTCTTTGGAACCAACCAAGAGGAATAGTGCCCTGTTAGCTGAGATTTAGAGAAAGTGTTTCAATCTTCAGCTAAGAGTATTTGCTCAAACCCATGAAGTAGCAGCTGCAACACTGCCACAGCAAGCTTATCTTTCTAGGCCTTAGTACATGAGGGCGGACCTGGTATATCCCTTCAGTCAAGTATTTTGAGCCATTAGTGAGAAAACAACACCAAAATGATTCTGTCACTTCGGTTTTTTGGATCCCGTGTATCCATCCGGCTTTCAATGGATGGTAACGTACATAGCCATTCTGCCTTATTCTCTAGTGTACCTTGTCGCTTCGGAAGAGTCTTGTTCTTTGCAAACTCACTCCATTGTCTGCAGTATCAGGGAATAGCCATGTTTCAGTCAGAATTATAACATTCAGATCCACCTGAGAGCATATATTCCTGATTTCGAACAGCTTTCATCTTAGCCCTCTCACGTTGCCATAGAGGCATTTGGTGTTTTGTCTCATCACCTGGTGCACTTCTTCAGCAACGGCTTCTTAAACAGGTTATTCAAATGGGGTTGGCCAGTTCAGTGGGCACTGAGGATAAACATTATCGATGATATCGTCGTATGGTGCTCATCGTGATAGAATCCGCTAGATAATAATTTTACAGTCTTTTGGGTAAAACAAACACGTCTATGGGAATATCAAAGCTCTGGTTGACTGAGTATTATGATGTACTGAAAAGAGAAAGAAAGAGGAAGGACGAGAAGAAGATAAGAATATATTCGTGTTCAAAGCTGAGTTATGACAACAGATACCGTTTGAACAAAACATTAGGGGTGTAATTACTCAGAACTTTCTTTTACCGTTTTAGGTCACTGAATATACACCTGTATTCATGCAGGATTGCTCGGCAGGAGGTGAGACAAGTTGGATGTTGCAAACGTGATTCGTAGACATGGTTAACTTGGAAAAGTAACATCGATATAATTGGTTGGCTAGAGGGAGAAAAAATTATTATATCAGGTGTGTTTTTTGAGTAGAATGAAAAAGTGTAAATCTTCTGGTGGAGCCCAGTAGTGCTTGATTTATATCAGGATACTTTTTTCGTCCTTTAATAAGCCCATCAGAAGAGCGTGAAATACTTCCTAAGGTGAGGGAATACAGCAAAAAACGTTTTCGAGACCTGTTATTAGGGAAATGTTGAAAGTGTTAGTAAAAGGCTCGCAGGTTAAGCTTCCGAGTATTCTGGGAAACACTTTTTGGCATATCATGGTCAAAGGAAAGAGGCTACATTAATATTACAAGACAAAATGCATATATCCTTTGATGACGTCAATAGATTAATGCTTGAATGAATCAGTTAGGTCATCATCCGATGCTTTCTAATGTCATATTCGCGCGAAATCATGAAGTGAGGTGACTGTGCATACTGGAAAGAAAAGATTTGTATCACTTTCATCTTACTGTTAATACCAATCGAAAAGATTCGATATCTCTATCTTAAGTTCAGTCGTGAAAACAGGGTTTAGTTCGATGTTCAGATTTGAAAACGCTTTTGTTTGCAGCACCCTTCTAATCGACTACACAAACCCAGTCAACTTCTTCAGCTTCGATTTCACCACGAATACAAGGCTACATTATATTCTGTCTACGTTCTAACTTAAACCAGAAAAGAATAGAGATCAAATATACATTCATGAGATAATTGGTGTATTAGGAAGCGTGTGATCTTATCTGGCTATTTGCTGCGATAAAAATGTATCATGAGGAACAAAAAGTTCGTCTGGTACTGATGTGTGAATGGGCGCAATGAGTTGGTGTGTTCACTGAAACTAGTGAGGTCAGCATCGACGTCGACGGCCTAAAGAATTGAACGACCTGGGAATTTATTTATCTCTACGCACTTCTATCTGATACTGCACTTTTTAATACAAGTACCCAGACGAATGTTTGAAACTAGATAAATCCTGTTTTCGATAACCTTATATTCTTGAGACAAATGCAGTTACTTATAATTAGAGTTCATAAGGTTTCATTGTTTAAACTTAGTTCAAAAAAGTTCAGTTTTGTTTTCAATTACTCAAATTCTAGCACAGTAATTAGTCCCTAACTCCTTTGTTTTACTTACTTAATTGACATAACTTTACTTGTGGTGTGTGTTCAAGTAGTTGCTGAGTTACAGTTGCTCGTAGGAATAATGGTCAGTTATGACATGTCTTATTTTTTTCACTATAGAAGGAAGATAGAAAAGAATTAATATATGGAATACTAGTGGTCATAGGTGCATTTTGTCTCCACTTCAGTCTTGGACACTTCTATACTGTCTGTAAGTTTTCGAAATTTTTATCACTTTCTTTTTTAGCGAACATGGCAACATACATTATGTCATACATAGCAGCCAGAGTTGACAAAACTATCAGTGATAGCTCAGCTGTGTGGTTATCTGCACTTGCCCTTGGATGTCAGGGTCTGGCTATGCCCGTAGGTGGGCTTATGGGAAGGAAATTTGGACCGAAATCGACGATGATTGCGAGTTTGATACTGGGAAGGTAACGTAATAATTTTGTCAAGCGTGTTATATCTTCGTAAAATTTAGCAAAGTACACTTCTGGTCATAATGTTTTTTAACAGTTCAACGATTTTTGTCTAGAGATTTTTTTATGAATACTAATTTCCCTTCAAAAATAATCTGAGTTGTGAATAAATTCATTTTCATTTTGAGAAGTATGAAGAAAAGTATTCTGCCAGAGCGGAAGTGTGTTTAATTAATGTTCTCAATCTCATTTCAAAATTTAAGGCTTTTATTTTTTATCAAATCTTTGACACTAGTTTAAATCTGACTTTACAAATCGTAGGAACAGGGAGCCTGAAGAGACGTAGATCTGAAGGCGATCGAGAGTCCAGATTAGCATTAATCAACGAAACCATTACGTGTTAGTGTTAACTAGCTTATCAGTTATAAATACATCTGTCCATGAGATTCAAACATTCTTAACTGGTCAGTAGGTTAACAATATTTATTCTTACATTGTGTTTCCTTGAGATTATAGAGTTGTTTATATTCGCATAAGATCCATGATGATTGAGGTAAAAATTCTGAAGGAGATTTTGCCTAAATGTTTATTATCAAATTCTAAGTCAGTACCGAGTCACTCAGCCGTACACAGCATAGAACTGTTTCAAGTTTCCTCAAAAGTAGACATAGCTGAAAGTTATCAACGCTGATCCTGGATTTGTAACAGTAGTGACAATCATCCAGACTTTCAGAAAAGTTTATTGAACTTTACCTTTGTAGAGTATTTGTATCCATTTTATTGAAAAGTATTTACCAATCCATCATTATCAGTCCTAAAGTTCGAAAGTATTGTTTTAATTTTTGACATAATTGTATTGAACTGAATTAAACAGTCACTGAATATCAGTTATGATACTCTATGTGTTTGCTATTTTAGTGGAAGCATTCTGTTAACATATATTACTGTTCAGAAAACGTTTGTTGGTGTAGTTTTTACTGTTGGAATAATGTTTGGGTTTTCAATGGGAGTTGGTTATTCAGTTGCAATAGCGTGTGCAGTTTCTGTAAGTGAAAAAATGGAGGATCTTTTAATGCTTGTATTTTGTTTCGAATCTAGCTCATTTGTATACGCGAAAGAATATTATACATAGAGCTGTATAACAAGTCATCAAGTTAACATATTATAGCTTCCAAATAAATCGGTTAAAGTATGGGATTGTCATTATGGGTGTTACTCCATGAAGACTTGTTACATTGTACAATGATGATCCGGTTATTATACGTAAAACCTTTTATCACTTGAGAGTTCGGGTTTAGAAGAAAGCATAATTTTTAATATTGTGCTAGCCTACAGAAATGCCTGTCTTTTGGTGCTGATTTAGTTTCTGATAATTAGACCAAGAGATTTCGAACATCACGGCAATGAACACTTGATATGAAAATAAATCAAGCTATTAAATGTTTTGCATAGTCCAAGGGTCAAACGGAGGGATTGCACAAAGAATTGTTATTTGGTGTCTATACCCCTAAGATTCTAAATGCGTAGACAAGAATAACAAAGGGTAGAGTTGTTTACAGTTACCCTTTAAAAAAACATTTCAGTCTTATGATTTAAATATCACCAGTTCTTTTGATTATCAAACGTGGTTGAACTCTCACATTCATAGTACCAAGTTTTTTTAAAATATAAAACGTTTTTATGAAAAAAGCAGTTTCATATATTTGGTCTACAGAATTCACAGTGACTCGAAGTCCTTCTTCAAAGAAACTTGTTATTAAAAACACCTTACTTGTGATTTTGTTTCTTCCACATACATAAGAGGTTGCGTATCGTAAAAGTCAGTTCTTTAACATTAAATTTAACTACGTTTTATTTAGCTTGTTTTGAAGACAAACACCTAGGTTAGGATTCACGTTTATTTATTGTAATTTGTATTTCATAGTTTTTATTTCATCAGTTTATATTTGAAATACTTATCATTTTTTATCTTTAGTGGTTCCCTAATAGAAGAGGATTAATTGTTGGCATAATTGTTGGGGGATTCGGCTTAGGGTCTCTAGTTTTTACCCCTATTCAAACTGCATACATCAACCCATCTAACTTAAAGGTTAATGTTGAAACAAGGTAAGAATATGTTAACAGTGTAGCGTAAAGTAAATATTCTCATGTAGCTAATACAACGTTTAATTTCATTTAGTAAAACTTGGTACAATATCTGAGTTTTCTCAAACAATTAAAAACCAGACTCATGTTATTTAACTACTGATAAGCACATCTAAATTTTCGATTCCGTTCGCTATTTGTATTTGATGAAACAGTATTTTATGGATATAACATTATTCTGAATTTGTCATCGAATTTAACTGGTTTATCGGTTCTCCCTCAGTAATTAGAGTAAGCTCTGTCCACTGTAACGATATTTGCTTCTTGGTTCAGGTTTTTATTTTCCCTGCAAACTTCATCCCGGTGAAACTTTAACTATTGGAAACTAATACATTTGATTCCCAGTATGACAACGAAAATTGATACTTATCCATTACCGAAATTATTTTTCCTAGTTTATCGTTACTGTAAACAACGTTCTGCATAAAAACAATGGTCTTTTATAAATTGATAACCAATATGAAATATATTAGTCATTTTAATAAAGTTAAGTTAATCGTAAAAGTATTATAAAAACGTACATTTTATAAAATGCGACGCTGTTTGGTAATTACTTTCACAAATAATTTGAATTCGGTATAAGCTTTCATCCAAATGTCAAGCAAACTAATAAGATTTGAATGAAATTAAAATTCTCGGAAGCCATCCCAGAATTTATTTCATTATCGTGTCACCTACAGCCTTCTTTCAAAGGACTGAAATGATTTTGAATATTTGGCTTTTAAATTGGAGAATGTCTTTTGTTAATTAAATCGTTAAACTTCCAAGATATATTTCGAACGAAAAATTATATGACTATTCGTATATTCCTAATGTGTATTTAATCAGAATTATCAAATTATAATGTTCATCTTACCAGGCGTTTCACAGATCCAGAGCTTCTTGATAGAGTTCCATATGTTTTCTTGGTGATGGGTTCAATATTAGCATGTTTGCAACTAGTGGCATGCATATTAGTTCGCATGAAACCACCCCATAAAAAGGTAAGTCTTTATGATCAGTTAGCAGAAAAGAACAATTAAAATGTTTTTCTGATAATTGACTTCTCTCTTTTTTTAAAAATAAAAACTATTTGGATAGAGTGGTACTTAATTATACTCAAAAAGGGATAATAATTTGCCTCTGAAAACTAGTCTATTTGTGTATGCTCAGTTATTTTAAACTCATACTCACCACATATCACATGCTACATTCGTTTGGCGACCATACGTTCAGTTTTGGTGTATAAAGTAACCCAGGAACACTAATTTTATGATATGTCATAACAAATGGTCATTGAAATTCCGCTTTTTCATCTTATCAATAGCAGATGACGAAACTGATGAAAACTGGCTAGACTAATCATGTCAGTTAACCTAAAGCGTTTAACTTACATACTTTTGTTACTTTTCTAGCTGAAGAAAGCAACGATCAAGTATTATTAAGTTCCTAATATGTGTTGATTTGAACTCTATCAGCTTTGAGCAAAGACTATCAAATTTTTTATTAATTCTTTAGGAATAATGGACATTATTTGAATGGAATGTTTGGGCTGAGAGTATCTGTAAACTTTTTCCGATGAACAGAATTTTCTGTTAAGATGATAGTTATTGATTTTAAACAGACAATAATTTCTTAAAAATGTCAAAGATATCAATTTATTCGACGTGAAACTTCATAGTCAAAATAGGAGAATATTTATAACTTCTTGTTGTGGGAGACGGTGTAAAAAAAGCATTAAATTTAAATCAAGAATTCCAACAATCTTAGATTAACTGTTGTTCTTTAAAGGCAAATTTAAGTACCATTTTAGATTTATTTACATGATTTCAGACATATTTTATTTCTAAAATTTTATTTTCTTGATAATGATTCTGTTTTGTGCTTATCTAGTAAAAAAAAAAAAAAACTTTCATAATCTATAAGTTACACTTAGCATCCATATACATCACATTCGTACATGTGTATATAATAGTCGTAATGGCTCAGAAAATGCTCTCTGTTAATTGTACACCTTTTATTATTATTGGAGGATGAGCATCGGGAAGAAGAAGAAGGAAGAGGATTGGGAGGTTCAAAAACGCAAACTCATCCATCAAATGATTTAAAAAGAAAGAATTTTGTAAAGGGTGATACACAGGTAAGACAAATTGGTCTATATGCAAAATAAAGTAACTTCTTGTCTCTGAAAAATAACTTATTTTATATATTAGTATGTGTGAGTGTGAGTGTATTATAGTATACTTAATTTTATATAATCGAAATAATGCCTGGTGTATATATCGCACGGACATGGTTACATCTTTGAAGGAAACATGCTTAGTGTTACTATTTAAATTATTATCTGAACTATATATATACATATATATATATATATATATATATATATATATATATATATATATATACTAACACTGACAAAATCTTTGAAGTTACAATCTGTAGTAAAGTTATAACACCAGGGATGTAAATGAAATACCATAGCTAATTATTACAAGCGAACATTTGAAAATACTGTAAAAAGCATAAAGTTTTGTATTTTTATATCTAAAAATTTTATTAATTTTATAGGTCAAAGAGAATAACGACTACAGTTGTAAATATAAAGATTCGATTTATATATATATATATATGGAGAGAGAGAGAGAGTTGAAAAAGGACTTGTTCTAGCAATCATAATCATAATTTGAACGTTTGTTTGAAGAGTCGACTTCGCGTAGCTGAAAACACCAAGATGGAAAGTCATATCATATCTCTGTAAAACATAACCTGAATTTTAAACAGTCGAGTTCGTTCATTCACCAAAGCCATCACAAACCCTTTACATAACAAAAAAGTAAACATTTCATAACCGCACGAGTCTACTCAAAATACTGATTTGATTGGGTTACGTTACCTATTCACTAAGGTGACATCACTTTAAAAATTGATGTGCTTCTAGCCGTAATCTTGTCTTTTTCGAAAAATTTTAATCAGTTAACGTTTAAAATACTTTTGCATCGCTACTTTGATTCGTTGAGTTTTATTGCTGCAATAAGTCTGTATTATGGCACCTTGCCATTTAGTTATTCATCAGTAAATCTAAACAGTTCAATTTCAGTGAACCACTAGCTCATAATATCTTTGTTTTAATTTGCCAATCAAATTACCTGAGGACTTTTTATATTGTTAAGATCGATTTTTCTGGACTTAATCCGCTTACCTAGTCAATATTACACGGATCCGAAAGAAAATGGACATAAGTGCCCATTATTTTTGTCAATATTCTTTTTTTTCGGTAATAAGTAACTAGCGGTTGTTTATTTTACCATTAATTTAATTTTTTGTTGTACTTTCTTACAACTAGCCCCAAAATAGTGCGATAGAAGTGAATATTCGACCTGGCAGGCTATTGCATCATATTGACTACTATCTTCTGATTACAATGATGCTTCTTAACTGTTTTCCGATATCTGTTCTTACGAGTTCATTAAAAGTGAGTGATTGATTGTTAAAAGCTATGTATTGAAACCGTAACTTAGCTAAAAAATAATTTTTGGTATCCATCATGGACTATCTTTGAAAATCAGCGAGCACTTGACAATTATTTTGCAGCAGTATGGGTTGCATCAGTAGGTTACATCGAACACTTCATAAGTCGGATCTGAGAGCTTGAAGGCTAATGGATAGAGCGTCGCTTTTAAATCACTGAGTTGACATCTAAGCCTACGCCTTTCACCAGAAAGATTTGCACCACACTTTACATGGATGAATGAAAACCTTCTGTTTTTTTTGTTTGTTACTATTAGTTGTGTTCATGAAAGATCTCTATGTTTAACGAAAAATACTAATTCACAGGCATTGAAATGCATTAGTTTATAGTGCAATCCATTCTTTTTTATGTGGATTTTTTCTGAGCTAAGGGAGCAGCTGTTTCGACCTTATTTTTAGAGTTCACAGAAAACAACACACCGCAGGTTTAATCACAACGCTTCCTAACAAATGGAACATCAGGAAATCTAGAAGCTAAAGTTGGCACAATGATTTCACAGCCTTCTCAAATGGAATAAGCATTCGAGCAGAGAAAAAAGATTATTAATAAATACTCAGTTTACTATATTTGATATATAGGACTCTATAGCAGACAATTTTTCTGTCTGTTATTCAGAGTTTCAAAGAGAATGAAATATAAACACCCGAATATAAAATTTGCAGTTGTTTTGTACACTACTACAGTTATTATCGAAATGCAATTCATACAGAGAAAAAATCGACTGTTTCAAAGCTCGCTCCTGGCGTAAAGCTAAATAATCTACTTTGACTTTATTCTAAAAACTAATGTCTCTTAATACAAGAGTATACATGTATTACTGTTTAGGTGTAGAAGTATAACAAATTTGCTGGTGTTTATGCAATTTTTGTTTTAAAATACTTTCAGAAAATTGGATTATTTGAATCTCATTTGCTCTACTCTATTGACTTAATCTAGATCTTTGGACAAACTTATATAAGCGATGACAGGTTTTTATCAAGTATAACAGCTATCACTGCTCTTTTTAATTCTGGTGGACGTATAGCCTGGGGTGCTCTGGTGGATCGTTTTTCATTTAAGGTAATTTTCAACTCCATCAAATCATATATATATAATAAAATCACGTTTATAGTTTTTTGGGGCAGAGTTTTGGAGGTTTGTGTTTTTACACATTTGAAATCATCAATCAATCACCACCATTAGAAACCTGGAAGCACTGGACGGCCGTTTCGTCCTGGTATGGGACTCATCAGCGGTGCGCAACCACTACTCCTGCTTCTTGCAGGATTCGAACCCGGGACCGTCGGCATTGTAGGCGAACGCCTCACCATCGGACCACTGGGTCGGCATCCAACGGTGTTAATGTCTAACTCTAATTGTTTTTTGTGTTATGTTACAAAACGCCTTCATGGTACAAAACGTATCTTTAAAAGAGTAATTTTGATTTTATTCTATGCAATTAATTCTTCAAAATTTGATATTAGTTAAAAGATAGTATACTCTGATCTGTCAATTGATAAATCCACGTTTACTACATACATACATACTTTATGAATATGTTGGAAATTTGACTTTTGGATGGATTGAAAAGGATTTTTTTGAAGATTAGAATCACATACACAATAAGCGAACAATATTGTTTTCATTTAGATCGTCATCCGTTTTTACATTAGTATAGACGAATATTTATAATAACACTTATTAAACCAATCAAGACAGTATGTATGAGTTAGTGGCCACAATGAAATAGATTGCATAACTACTGCACATAAAATAGGTAAAAGTACAAATTGATCGTAGGAAAACAGATATATTAATTAGTTAGTGATGTTTAGAATAACAAAATAACCACAGAAGTTTTTAGTCGATAGTTCAGCATTGGAAATAATCCGGCACACTTGCATAAACAGATTTAAATAATAATTATAGAACGTTACTATGACTGACTACATAGTAAGAAGCGCGTAAATAATCAGATAATAAAACAAACAGGATGTGAAAATAAGGGTAACGAAATAAAATCAACGATTAAATTAAATCCGGTCAGTGAACAAGCAGACAGAGTCGTCTTGAATTTCTTCTGAACATATAAACACTGCGATTATAGGTTCTGATTCTCGTAGCTTTCGCTATATGTAGGAGACAGGATGGAACTCTGTTTAAAAATGATAGAGGTATATGATAGATTATTCGAAATGGTTCGGCTTATCGATAGTATGACCACTATCAATCACTTATGTCACGATAAAGTGACGTCATGTCTTTATTTGACCCTTACCAAACCATGCTGGGAGATGTTCACTCATTCGTTGGTTAAATTGTCTGGTAGTAGTACATCAAATATTGCTGTCTCTACAGTAGCAGCTAAATTTATACATGTACATTAGAGAGAGACCATTTCAAATGGTCAACCATTGTTTGAGTAGACAACACTATAGTCTACTAGATAATCTCAACACCAGATCCGACTACACCAGATACATACAGCTCAACTAAAAATTAGATTTAGTTTGCTTTTTGTCAACTATGATAAATAAATATATACCTGAAAAATGACTTTAACATGTGGTGTGAAGTTATATAAGCTGAAGAACCACGAACAGTAGAGAAAACTTACATATGCCGCCGATAGTATCAAGATCGTAGTTTGACACAGGGTGGTGCTGATTGTAGTATTATTTCGAGTAAAAAAAAAAATAAATGATTTGTAATTGTAAATGAATATTGGCTATTGGAAATAGCTCATCAGTTAATGTTGTTTCATAAATAAATTTTAGGTACCAGTCTGCGTACAATTGTTCCTATGGAGTTTATTATTGTTTACATTTCCGATTATTGCTTATACAACCGGAGTCGTATTGAAAATTTTATATTCTATGTGGGCATGTGCCTTATTCTTCTTCATGTCTGGTGTTTTTTCAATGATGCCATCTGCAACTGGCACTATATTCGGTCCAGCAAATTTAGCTGTCAATTATGGATTGGTTTATCTTGGATTTGTAAGTTAGGTTAACTATATTACTTTGACCTATTTAAATATTATTTATTAATCACTAAATTTAGATACTGGTATTTTAGTATTGGTAAAAACATTTTATCAAATTAGTCATCTTTGAACTTGAATAAACAAATTGTTATAACATTAGGTTATGCTCATCATACATCATGGTAGCATATAACATTTGTTAGGGATATTTTTTGTTATTTACAACAATGTGCGTTCGTTACCAAAGTTTGTCAAGGGACTTTACAAAAAAATAAAAGTGAAAATTGTTCATCTTTCACCTAATAAGTGTCTAACTGGCTCTAACATTAAACGACTTAGCTAAATGTTGAAATTGGAAACGCCCTCCTAGATAAACGTTCCAGTTCCATTGATAGAACTGTATTTCTAAGACTAATAATGATTAATGAATTGACGTGTGACCTGAATGTGATTTATTAAGAAAGACATTCATTATTTTAAGGTGAAAGAATTGTTAAGAACCGATTCATATTTTTCTTTATGCATTTTTGATTATGCAATTATCGTACAAAGTTTTGTCGTATAAGATAAACGCACAGTTACGTAATCGTTGCTTCTCAGTCGAACAGTAATCTAATTCTCAATGGTAAAGAAAGATCTCGACCACTTGTAACTGTCAAGATACAAGTGCATTGCGCTTTTACACCTTTGTCAATATTATTTTTTTTCATAAAACCTATTAAATTGAATCACAGATTGTTTGTATATAGGCTCTAATAATGGCTACTTGTTTTTATCAGCATAGACCGCGCTAATATTTAGAATTTATAAAGAGATCTGTTGACAAAAAACATACTACATCTTAGAAGACAATTAAGTTATCACATGTTTATAATCCGTTTGTTTTTTATGACATTTCAATGTTCTAAACAAGTCCTTCGGATCGATACTTTCACTTCTGGTGAGCCTTTTCTGGAAAGTATCTCCTGAAATCTTCTTTGCGTTTTCTGCATGCATGTGCTTAATTAGTAAGTGAATTATTTTACAATCATTCTAAAATTTGACTTTTTAACAAAAATATTCAAATAAATCTCATTGTAAATCATCAATTTTCCCTGAGACGGTACAGGGATTTGTATAATCTAAAGATAATTTTAGTCACAAACTGATACCAGATTGAGAATTCATAGTAAAATTAGATTGCACCGAATTCTACTAAACCTTTAAAAAGGCAACCTATCATCCTATACCCTTTCAAACTCCGGATAATTATACATTCTTGCTATTGTGTAACACCTAGTACAATCAAGTAAATGAGACCAGTTGATGATGGCAGTGTAATGTGAAAATCATGATTTTAATCCTACATGTAGTGCAGCATTGATGAAAAACTTCCATTCGGTGCCTATTAAATTTTAGTGACTGACTCTCTAACAACAATTTCATTACATAAAATAAAATTATACTTCAACTAGTCTCAATAAATCTTATGATAAAGATTTTTGAACTCAAACAAACGCAAATTAGACTTGTTGTGTGTATCATAATTCTTTTCAACTTGTTCAATTGCATCATAAACTATGCTTATCAATCATTCGTTGTAGTTTAAGTTTGATAATTAAACTAGTTCATAAACTGATTATTATTATTATTATTATTATTAAGTGATATGAAACATTACAAATTTGATCGAGTGATAAACCAGTCATGAAATTTTAAAATCGACTGATTATTCACTGTGCATACATATTATGTTATCCTGAAAGTTCATCAAGTGATTGACATTAAATAGAGAAAAAAAACAACAACACCATGTATGCTTTTAAATGCATGCGTGCATTGTACTAGCATGTCTGTATTTTTTATTTTTGGCATACAGTTTATATTATAATAGGAATGTGAGTTACGAAAAAAAATAATAAAATGATTGTATCAGATCAAAAGTGATTAGGTCTAGTGATCTGATTTTTAACAATATATATAGATAGACAGGTTATTTTTTATAGTGAGTTTATTATGAAATGTGATTATGTTAGTTCTATGACAAGTCACAGTGAAATAACCCGACTGTAGCTGTTACCTTAACATGGTGGTCGATCGTGCCTATCGTGATAACCCAACTGAGCTATATTGGCTGGAACATCTGTTCCTGAAGGTTCTACCATGCCAGGCAGGTCGATTGGAGAACGATGAGACTAAAAGCAGCTGCTACTCAAGGCCTGAGGGCGAAGTCGTACTGCTGACTGCAGAGGGGTGTGATAGCAGTAAGGTGTTTCCCTCAGACAACCAGCATCTGCAGTGATACTGCCTTCTCACAAGGAAGGAAGAGTTAGAAAAGGTCGGCCCTAAAAATGTCACACCTCACCTTGCCTGACGGATTTCCGTCTCTGTCGGCAAGGGCTGCCCGATAAGGGCTTTAAAAAGAGCGGAGCTAATACTCAAAGAACCTTGCATAAGAAGGCCGTACGTGACCGGCCTCAAGCAGTTGTCCGTTGGACTCTGCAGTCACGCTCGTTAAGATCAACACTAATCTACCTTCTTTTTCAAGTTCCTCAAGAAATACCCTTCCACGGTGTGGGCAGCCGGGAAGTGACAACCTCCCTCATACCCATAAAAGCATCCGAGACCAAATTGGTCACAGTCAAATCCTTTCTACACGTCTTAATAACTCACAAGGAAATAAATATTTGTTGATTTTCATGAATGATGAACTCGTTAACTTGCCATGGAATTTTACCATACTTGTTTAGAGTGTAATTAGTGTGAAACTTCAATTGATGTGGTTAAGGTTAAGAAATTGTTTTAGTCACTGTAAATTAAATTTATTCTCCAGTTATTTTATTTCACTTAAGAAATGTTCTAATTTATTTATTCTTCTACTAAAAACAATGTGATAAATGATGATAGATAGTTGCTTGATTATGTAATTAATTATAGTGAAAGTCAGCATACAGAGAGGAATGCGGCAATGGAAAGTTTCCTGCGATACCATGTATGTCTTCACAGAAATAGTTGTTGTTTGTTGAAATTTAATGGAAAACAAAAACCACTGCATATATATAATATGATATGTATTGAATAGAAAGAATTTCAGTGTCACACTATTTTCTTTTTTGTTATTTGATAAGGAAATTATTATATTTATATTTATATGCATTTTATTTCAGCTTTTGCCTTATCCATATGGCTTGATGACAGAAAATTACCTGAATCTTTACGTTTCATGAAATGGTTCTCAAATCATTGCTTATCTAGAAGAGTTGGTTATCAATCCGCTGCTAAGACAACTGAAAATTTATGAATTATAAAATGGAACTAATAGAACTAATTATTTTTTGGGTTTTTTTATTAGTTAGAAAAAAAAAATACTTTTATTTTATAATCATTAATTATATTGTGTGAGTAACACAAGTAAAGATTTATGAATTAAGACAGAACTAATAGAACTACTTATTTTTCTGGGATTTGTTTTTTAGTTGAAAAAAAAAAACAACTTTTATTTATAATCATTAAATTGTGTGAGGAATGAATATTTTACTTCAAAATCAGTAATCAGCACAAATGCAGCATGTAAAGCAATTAGTCACAATTTTTTTTCTCTTTTAAACTAGACTTTATTCATTTTTGACTGACTTTCTTACTTAAAAAAAAATATTTATTTAAATCTGGAAATTTTTTGTTGCAATAAAAAAAAGAAGCACGGTAAAAATAGAAATGTTCCGTTAATGAATTTTCTTGTATTTCTGATTTTGCCCTAACTTTAATCCTGATCTGTCAACTAGGCTTAGACAGCGACAGAATAATACTGTATGACAATAAAGTAGTCGTCTTTATTCTAGAGGAAGTTCATTTCACTGCATATTTTGGAACAACATGTTAATGAGCATAAATGACAGTGTACCTTTGTGTACTAGGGACAAGTATGACAGACAGTAAGCGAAGTTGAATGTTTATCGCTTCTCAGTGAAGTGCAGTTGTGTTAAGGCCACAATTTTATGAAGAGAATTTCCCTAATTAATTTTGGCATGACTAGCCAAAGATGAAGATGGAAAGTGAAAGTCTAACATAAAAATTACGGCTCCAAGCCCCGACTATGGAAGGAAACTACAGGTAGCGAAGGCTGTTGTAACCGATTCTGTGAAGTTAAACTGTTTTACCGATGGGTTCACTCTCTCTGTCAATGAACAAAACTAATTAAAGTAACTTTATGTTAAATATTTGATGAAAGAATGTAGTAGCTCATAATTTTTGTAATACTGGTATTACAATTTGCACTGTACAAGGTGGCCAACCCTTGATTTACTCTAAAAGCTGCTTTTAATGCATATAAAAGCTGCCAAGATAATCAATTACAGTGAAACATCTACAAATAGTCGGTCGTGTAAATCAAGCCTCATTCATTTTTATATCAATCATTGATATTAAAAAAGAGCAATAAATTTCCGGAACGATTTTTGAATTGTGTGTAGGTATTCACTTTTTACAGACTTCACTTTATTTGGCCTACCAAATGCTGCACATAATGTTACAAATTAGAACAAAAGAAAATGTACAATTTATCGACTAAGTGACACTGAAATATATTTAATGCACACGTTTGATTTATCAATATTGTTATTAGTGTTGCAATGAAACTCGAAGGGATTTTAGAAGTTTGTCTATTTATATATATATATATATATTTGAAGTGGTTATGTAATGTGACGACAGTCTAGCAGCACAGTAAATATTTTTTTCAATCGATACAGAATAAATACTAATGTTCTGAGAACGGATTATAATAAACAGACTGTAATGCTTTGCAATAACGATCATTTGCGAATTTTCAAGCAGACTTCCGTCATCACTTCATTTTAACCAATAACAACGATACAGTGTCAGAGATACAGACAAAATATTTTTATAGCCTAAAGTACTGTCGAATGCTGAAATCTCTATTAGCTATTATTTTTCAACAACTCATTTTCCCAGTTATATTTGTTTCTAACTAAAAAGTATTTCAAAGCAATGAGTCCCTTTTATAAAATTTTGAAAGAACAGTGAGGAGACGAAAAGTAGTTCTTCTACTACAGATGAACATGTAGCTTACATTGTTTTTTTTTCACGAACAGTCAGTCACATTTTACACCTTTTGAATAGCAAATATACACACCATAATTTTTGTCAACCAGTGATCGGTTACTGAATACAGCAAAAATTAAAATATAGCATTGTAACTTTCTTACTTGAAAAAAATTTTTTTTTCAAATTTTGTTGCGGTGAGACTTATAAACATCCTTTAACAATATGTAATTGACTATGAGTATGATATAAACTGAGAATATGATTAGTAAGCTTACTCATTCTACAAAAGATGTATTTTCCAAATCATATGATCTAATCTTTTAGCATTTTCTACTTTAACAAAAAACAAAAAAATAGTCTGAAACATTATCAGCAGTCAATTGTGAAAAGTTTTTTGTTTTGAAAAAAAATATAAGTTTTAACAGTTTAATAATATATGCCATACAATCATTGTGAGTGACACGTTGAGAGTATAATTAAATGTGTTGTTAATCAAAGATTAATTTACTACATAAGCTATTTGCGGGTAATCCAGTCATGTGTAAACCTTTTTGATGATGATGATGATGATAATGATTCTTGCATTTAAACATGAATACTTTCCTACAGGGATCCAATGAAACATGTTTCAGGAAAAAACATACTGTATGATCATGTATAACATTGAACTCCTTCAATTTTCAATGAAACCACTGATGTTAATCAGCATAGAATACTAGAAACTGTTTTTGATTGATTACCACAAACTCTATAATGTATGTACTTCAAAACAGTGAATTTATCTTCTTTCTTTATGATGACGTAAGCTCATTCTCATACTATTTCTGATTGTATTATGAACAAATTGTAAATAGTTTATCATACATACATAATATGACAAGTTGATAAACAATAGGAGAAAAAGATGCTTGATTTCATACTTATTTTGTGGTCATTCATTGTTACTGTCGCCTTCAGAACAACGTATAATGATGAATCACAGAAACAAGTTGATATTATTTCGAGTCTACGTTTAACATAGTTGTGTTAACTATGACTGTGTTTCTGATATGTTCGTCACTAGGTACGCTTGAGGCTATTGCGAGTTCACCTTAGTCGATAAACGCGAACGAGAAAATTACTAGCGTACAGATAGGCTACTTTGAATCCCAAGCTGACGACAGAAGGCTTTGTAAGCGTAGAAAGTATATTCTACAAACACCCAGCAATCACAATACAATCAAGCACACAACTCTCGTTTACTTATACATCATAGAAACGTCCATGGGACAGTTACGAAAATAGCACACTAAATACACAGCAGCCAATCACAGCCATGGATTTTCCTGGTGGGAAATGAAATCTCAAGGTCAACTGATCAGCCCATGCTGGCAAACGTGAAATCCAAAATAAGGCATTTACCAAGCGAGTTTTGAGGATCTAACATCCCCAACAGTTTCAAAGAAGCAGTAGAATGATTATGAAGTGAAACACTTTGGAAGTGACACAAAATATTTCCCTACTGCAGACTCATCATTTGTTAACTGTTTTCTGTCCATATTTTATATTTCCTACCAAAATTTGCTATGATTTGTTCAAATGGAAAATAAGGAAAATTAGATTCATGCTGTCCATCTATCTAGGTTATAACCTCATAGATTATAACTCTTGTACACCTTGAAATCACAATAGGATACCGATTGAGTGGATTTTATCCCACTTGTAACAAACAAAGAAGAGTGTTTGTTCTTTCTGTTTCTTGCTGTCAACAAACAGTTGAAGATGATTCTATGGGATGGCTTATACAGAAGCATTTTCATGTCATCATGAATTCTGGCATTGTGAATAGTCAATAAATATCGATTTGAGTAATCGAGCAACTAATCCTAATCATCACTTTCATCAGAAAGTCGATCAAACAAACACATTTTTGGATTAAGAAATAAAAATACAACGATAATCAGGTCTACGTGATGCATCAGAGTGAAACATTTCAAACAAACTTATCACACGTATACACACTTGTCTGAAAAGTTGATTTATAAAAAAAATAAAAATATAAGGTCAACAAAGTAAATGGAATAATGTAAGAGAAAGCATAGAAAATCAAGAAAATGATATTAAAACACCATGAAATTCACTCACTATACATGATAACAATTAAATATTATTACCAGGGTTGATTTGTTTCATTGACCTAATAATTCATCAGTTCTCCTGTCATTAGCTTTAATTTATTTATAACTTGATACTCAATTAATGAATAAATATACTTATTCACTAATTGATCTGTGATTAGATCATTGATAAATTTCATCAAACTTGTTAATGAACGAATGAATGAATGCCAACAAATTGTGTTATATATTCTGTTAAAATTAAGTGCATACATAACTTTCTATAATTTGACAATGTATATATAACATACCAAATAGTATTTATTATTGGTAGTTGTAGGCTTTTTCAATTACAAAGAGGATTAGAAAATCATAATTTGTGAATAGTTTCTTGTGTATTTTCATCATCATTAATCATTGATTGCTTGGAAAACTCTGCATTGTTGTTTTTCTGGTACCAATACAGCGCTGGTCGTATGATTGATTCTCTGTCACAATTTACTGTGCTTTATCAAAAAAACCACTACACTTTTTCAATTATACTTTTTATTGTTTACTAAATCACAACGAATTCTGTTGTTTGTTTGTTTGTTTTTCAGTTAGATTTCTGTTTTTTTTTTTTTTGAATTCTGCCCAATGTCTTTAGTGAGTTAACCTCGAAACAGTTGATACATTTGAAGTTATCATCTATTCAAGCTAATAAAATTAATCTGTTCAAATTCTACTTCTTTTCATGATATACAAATTTTCAAACCAGTAGCTTAATCATTCTTAATGACGACTATTAAGAATTTATTGTCATGTTAATTTTTCAGAATATTTGTGAAAGCATTTCATCGTTTGGACGTGTTTAATTCACTGGAATATATTGATCAATGCAGACCATACAAATATTCTTATTGAATTAAAGTTTACATTTACGTCATTGTTCACAATCTTGACTTTATCACATTACCTAAAAAATATATTTTTGTGAAACTAGTTTACAGATGAAATTAATCGACTGATATCATTTTAACTTTTATAACGTTTAAGCCTACAAAGTGCACTGCTGATCTTATTCATTTTCTCTTGTTGGTTCAATCTTGAAAAAGACGCTGTTCTTCTTTGATTCTAAACATGTCATCAAGACTGTCAAGCAATAGAAAAAAGAATTAAGCTTTAACGTACTTAGAATAGAAGAACAGTGTTTCTATTGAATACCCAAGTAATAGAATCACTGTTGTAAGTTGGAGTGAGATTGATTTTTGGAGAAAGAATTGCTAAACCAAAGGATGGATGCATTTCATCTATTGAATATAGATAGGCCTAAAGAGCAAATACACATTAGACCTTCACTTATATTACTTTACTCACTAACTTTCACCTGTTATCCCCAACGAAGCATAGGCTGCCGACCAGTTTACTCCAACCAACTCTGTCCTAGGCTTCCCATTCCAGCTCTGTCCAATGTTTTTCCGTTCTTCTCATGTCTGTCTCCACTTCTCGGCGTCATGTTGTCCTTGGCCTTCCTTTTTTCCATTGTTCTTGAGGATTCCAAGTGAGGACTTGTCTTATGGCGCAGATGGAT